TTCTTTGGATCCCATCTCTCAGTTTTTCTGTGTGTTTCTGTACTCTAAGCAACTATTTCCTCCTCCAGTTTGGGGAAGTTCTCGGCAATTATTTCTTCAAACTAACTTTCTATCCCTTTTTCTTCTTCTTCTGGTACCCCTATAATGCGGATTTTGTTCCTTTTGGATTGGTCACACAGTTCTCTTAATATTGTTTCATTCCTGAAGATCCTTTTTTCTCTCCCTGTGTCAGCTTCTATGAATTCCTGTTCTCTAGTTTCTATTCCATCAATGGCCTCTTGCATCTTATCCATTCTGCTTATAAATCATTCCAGAGTTTGTTTCACTTCTGTAATCTCCCTTTGGACGTCTGTAATCTCGCTCCGGACTTCATCCCTTAGCTCTTGCATATTTCCCTGCAGCTCTGTCAGCATGTTTATGATTTTTATTTTGAATTCTTTCAGGGAGACTGATTAGGTCTGCCACTGCAGATCCTCTGTCAGGTGTTGTCTGAACTATCTTGGACTGGGCTAAATTTTTTGCCTTTTCATGATGAAAGCGGTGTCCATATGCAGGTTGTGGGTGTGTCAGCTGGGAGAAGAAAGTCCTTTTCTGCTTGCTGGATGCATTGCCCTTGTCTGCTGCCTGTGTTGGTTACCCACACTCCTGGAGCAGCCACTGGGTTTTCCCCTAAGCTGCTGTGGGCGGGGTCTCTGTTAGAGCAGTGCAGAGCCCTGAGGGGAGTGGCATGCATGCCAGGTGTGCTCCTGCATGATAGCGGTGCCCCTGCCGGGCAGCTGTGTGCCAGCAGTAGCCTTTGGGTCTGGCCCGGTTGGCTGTGCATTGGGCTGGGATTCCGGTCGGCTGCTGGGAGTGTGCCTGCTCCCTCTGGTCCATTGCAGGTGCACGCGGGGCTCTCCCGCTCGGACCTCTTCCGTATTCCTCTGGCTCCATTGCCACCGGTGCACGTGAGCCGCACCCGTGCTGTTCGGTTGCCGCCACTGCGGGCTTGCACAAACCTCTCCTGGTCCCTTCTGGCACTGTTGGCGCACGTGATCCGCTCCCAGTCCCTTCCAGCGCCGCTGCCCCCGGCACATGCTGCCACTCTCCCACTACTGGGCTGGTGTGTCAGGGTCCACTCCAGTTGGAGGAACGACTGGCAGGCTGCTTAGTGTTGTGAGGGGCTTCAGAGCTGTGCTGCCTCCCGAGGGTTTAGGGCACCTAAGGTTCCCCGGGATTTCCAGCTACTGGCTAAGTGTGCTGGGACGACTTCGTCCAGCTATGGGGTCCCTGTCTCTTTAAGACTTGCAGAAAGCACTCAATTTTCTTTTGTCTCAGGGGCACTGGTTGTGGGGACCTGCCCACAGGTTTTGCTTTTCCATTTCTCTAATATCCGGCACCCCATGCACCTTGTGTCTGCGCTCCGGGAGCGGATTTCTAGAGCTGGTTTTTTAGCAGTCCTGGGCTTTCACTCCCTCCCTGTTCTGACTCCTTTCTTCCCGCCGGGTTCTGGGATGGGGGAGCATTCGGGTCCTGCCTGACTGCAGCTTGTATCTTACCCGCTTCGTGTGATGTTGAGTTCTCACAGATGTAGATGTATCCTGGCTGTTGTACTGCATCCACTGGTGTCTCTTTTAGAAATAGTTGTATTTATTGTATTTTCATATATATATATATGTTTTGGGGAGGAGATTTCCTCTGAACTACTCACACCACCATCTTCCCATGATCCCCCTGATTCTGATTTTTAAAAATAATTTTCATGAAACTTTCTTGCAGTAATAGTTATCAGAACCAATTTCTAATATTATGAACAAGTAAGAAAGTTAAAATTGCTCCTCCTGTAATACATAGTAGTTTAGTATATGTTATTCATACTTGTTTTATTTTTCTTTATTTTAACCATATACTATTCATAGTGTCCACCTAATTGCTTCTCTTGATCTGTAAAATTAATACCAGATTTCTTTTATCAGTATTAATTTATTTACCCACTTCTTTGAGCTCTTTTTTAACTAGAGTTTAGGGAATTTGTTTAAGTAAGGAATTACCATACTTAAGGCATACATTACCTGTTTTTGAAACTTAATATATAGTTAACAATAACTATAAGAAGACAATTTTTTAAATTCCTTTAATTCATCAGACATTTCAGGATTTTGTGGTGCCTTTGTTATAAGTATGATTTAGATTTATACAGTAATAAATGAAGGCAGTGATTTTCATAATTTTTCATATCATTTTCCTCCTAAGTTTTAAATTTTTTACATTCATTACTAAAGTTATATGATGTCATATGGCCTCATTATTTTTGAAAAATCAAACTCTAAAAAAAATTCCTCTTATTCTAAAGTCAACTTAGATTGTGGGAGACCATCTGACGCTCTTGTAAGTAAGTGAGTTTTCTCCACTATCCTTTTAAAAAATGTTTAGTTGTCCAATTGGACAAACCAAATTCTGTATCTTTGTACTTGGGAGACATCAGCAAAGTAATATACTGTAATTGTGTATTTTTCTATCCCTGAAGTTGTAGAAATGATATTTTTGCTTTTATATTGTTCAAACATTTAAACTTAAAAAAATTCTTTATATTAGTCAATTTTAAAAAATGCTAATTTTTTGTATACATTTATTTGTATTCAGAAAGAACAAGAAAATGACTCAACAGTATCCACTGAGTTTGAAAAGTCAAGTGAAGACTACCATCAAGACCCAAAACTGCTTGAAGAAATTACACCTGTACTTATAGAAAGTGATTTTACTGAAGTATCCTTACTTAATAATCAAGAGTTGGCTTTGACTGCTGCTCCGAAAAACACCTCTGACTGTTCAACTACTGAAACTTTTGAAAGCCCTATTTCCACTGATCCTGTGGGAAATTCTACCCTAGGTGAGAAGGATGAGAATGAGTTGAACACAATAGAAAATCCTGTTTTAAGTGAACAGAGTGAAGGGAACCAATCTTTGATCTCCACTGAACCAAGTAAGTAACAGGAGGATTATAAAGATTCTTAATTTTCTCTGCTTTGCTTAGTTTTGTTTCTCCTGTTGAACAAATTTTGCTAAGGCAGTAAGCTGTTTATGAATCACTGTGGAATATATTAGCTTCAGAAAAAAAAAGATTCTGGGTTTTGGGACTTTATTAATGAATTTTGTAATATTGATTTAGGTAAACAATTGAGTACTTGGAAGCAAAAGTAATTTTTTTTTTAGATTAGGTGTCCAATTGGACAAACCAAATTCTGTATCTTTATACTTTATACTTGTAATTCATCTCATCAGTAGTTTTAAAATAAGATTCTGGAAGGATAATTATTATTGTCATTTTGGTTGATAAAACTGAAGTACAGTTAAAGTGCTATTTAATTATTGCCATTAATTTTGATTTAATTAATTTTGAGGGTTTCATGCAGTCACATGGTACAAAAAAGGTTCTAAAGGATACATAGTGAATAGTCTTTCACATCTTACTATCCTGGAAGCAACTAAAGTAAGTGGATTTAAAAGTACAATTTAGTTGATGGCACAATACAGTATTAGAAATAGAACTTGTTCTTAAATTCTCATGGCTTTATCCATTTTTAAATGTCATCATCCTCTAAGTAACTCCTAATTGAAAGCACTGATATGTAAACATTGTATATACACTAGTATAAATCAGATAATTAATGATAGGCTAGTTTCTAAATTAAAATTAGATGATTAATTTTAATAGGATTATTAAAGATATATTTCATGAATTAGAAACTTCTCTTTTTGACTTGTGATTACTGTGACACATTTTGAAAATGAATTTTTTTATTTTTAGTTGTTGTTTCCAGTGATGATGAAGGACCTGTTGAACATAAAAGTTCAGAAATTCTTAAATTACAACCTAAGCAAGATCATGTCATCACTAATGAAACTGAGATTGCTTCTGAATCAGCATTGTCAGAACTACCATTGATTACATGTGAATCTGTACAGGTGATTTATTTCTGCCTTCTCATAGATTAACAGTGAAAGATACACTACTGGCTAATGATTATTTCTTGTTTCATCAAGCAGACTATAGTAATAAAACTAAAAATTTTCTTAGTTTGAATTTTGAGACAATTTTCATATTAGTGTGAGGGAAATACGTATGAAGTGAAAGGATTATACCATGTTTTTTCTGGTCATTTATATTTTTCAGTTTAAATATTCTGTATTCTGTCGTTGAATATTTTTTTATGGTTCTTATTGGACATTTAAGTACTTTATCAAAATGTTGTCTAGAATCAGTTTCCAGTATTTATCTGTATGGATACTGTATTGGAATTATTCCCTTTCCTCATATGCTATTAAGGCAGTATAATACAGAGGAAAGAGCATGGCTTCTGGAATTATACAGACCTGTGTTCAAATCCTGGCTCTGTCATTTGGGCAAGTCATGTGACCTCTTTAAGCCTGAGTTTCCTCATATATTAAATGAGGATAATAATACCTCCCTCACAAGCTTATTTTATGTATTCAGTGAAATAACATATAAAAACACTTAGAACATTGTCACAAATCTGTCAGTTTGGCAAGTCCTTTGTTTCTTCCTTTTTACAGAAAATAATAAATGGAAGTATCTTTGCTTAATGTCAGACAATTGTGTTTTGACATAGTACTTTGAAAAGTACAGCTCTAAAGTAAAGTTCAGATAATTTATTTTCAGTAGTCATTTATACTATCAGCCTCTGGTTATACTATTTTTAGGAAATAATTATCAATGAATCAGTACAGAATTATGGTAAACTTCTGTTTGTTTTTGAGAAATGTCAGAGGCTGTTATTTTGTAGAGTGATGAAGAATTTGGTCAGCTCTATGATAACAGTCTGATGATCTGATTATTGTCTCATGGGTGTTTTCTGTTGGTATGCCTTACAAAGGTCACCACAGTATAACCATTCTTGACTGCTTAGGCCAATCACCTACTTGATGGCTTAGTTGTATTTGTAATGAAAAGTGTTATTGTTGATAATGAGTTCAAACTTCTAAATGAATTATAGTTCTCTTGGTATGTAAGTTGACAATGCACTATGAAATGGTCACAGAAAAATAACATCCCCTGTAGAACTGACAAGAGTGTGATTACAACCAACAAGCAAATAATGACCTACCAAGATCTGTAGGGCAGAATTCTGTAGCATCTCCACACCTCCCTTGTTTCTATTTTTAAATGAAGTTATAAGAAACACATTGTTTGTTTAGGAGGAAGTTAGTCTTTACAAAATATGAGACCAGTAGGAAATTCTGTCTCATCTTCTCAGTTAATCATTTAAAACACCATACTCACATACCCACCCCCAAAACTTATTTCTCTGACTGATTAGAACCACCTAGTTGATTTGATTTTGTTTTTTACTTAGGGAATAAGAAGAATAGTATAGTAAGTAGTAACAGATGAGAAAGATGAATAAATACTGTTAAGAAGATAAATAACATTGTGAGCTGGGTTAAAAATAATGGGTACTGTATATCTTTCAAATGAAGATTAATTATATTTTCTAAAGAGAAGAGTGAATACATAATTACTATAGTGGTGATTTCTTTGGTCATTAGTGATATTAGCATTGAGGGATAATGTGCAAAGACTAGGCAAATGTGTTGAAAAAGTCACCTGAAAGCAATGTAAAAATCGGAAGTGATTGTGGGAAACAACTGCTGCTGATACTGCCTGGTGGTCTTTGTAATATAAAAGCAGAGCTGTGTAGTTGTTTGGAAGTGGTATGATTTTTGAGGTTTTAGACAACTGGTTGGCTATTCTCAGACATAGAACATATAGTAAAAGCATACAGATTTTGGTGTAAAAGGTACCAGTTCTTAGGCACTTAAATCGCTTCATTATTTACTAAAAGTGCAAGAGCTAAGAGTGTTGTCTTGGTTTATGGATGTAGTTTTATGTGGTTGAAATAACCCTTATTAACCTGGAGGCGGAAACTTGGATTCGGCTTAGATTTGCTTCTTACTAACAGCATTATCTTGGGCAAGTCACTTGACCACTCCAAACATCTGTTAAAAATTTATAATTAAAAACCAACCAACCAACCCAGAATTTCCTCTTGGGGTGGTTGTGGTGATTAAAAGGTATCATATACTTAAAAACTCATTTTAAATTCAAACACTGAATTACAAATCTTAATTCATTTCTGTTGAGCTAAAAATGAATAAAGTTTATTGGAGAATATTGAATTTGAAGTCATGGCTTTGATGCATGGAAAGACATATCTGGAGTATAGATGTGTGGAATTAATTTAGGATTTGACTAGAGTAATTAAGGTACTAATACTTTTTAAGGAAAAAAAATCTAAGTAACTATTTCTTCACAGTAAATAGTATAAAATACTTCACAAATTCATTAATAGTAATTTAAAGAAGTATTTGACTTTGAAAATCATTGCCAGCATCTATGTAATATTTAGGGTTATATGCATTTTATAATTTCTTCCTTGTTAGGCTTCATCTGAATTATGTCCACATAATCCTGTCTTGGAAAACATTTCCTGTATTGTACCTAGTGATGAGATGGATCAACAACTGGATTTTGTACTTACTTCTGTTTATATTGGTAAAATAAAAGGAGCTTCTAAAGGTTGTGTTACNTTTTTTGTGCAAATGAAAATAGATTGAGATTAATTTTATATGGGACACTTTTACTATGTCATTATACCTACTTTGAAACATGTCTTTAACTGGGGGAAACCCTAAAGTTTTAGGGGAATGTCCTCAAATCATATCACTGATCTGACCACTTTCCTGAAAATCATATATAAAAAAATTCATATGTGATATGTGGTATTGATAACCTTTGGGCTCCAAAACCTATTTGGTGATAAAGTAAATTTTTATTCAGGGTGTAGTTGAAAGCATAAAAAAGACAGCTCATTTTGCTGATTTAAATTATTATAAATTGAGTTTTCCAAATTCCTAAACTCATTATTTAAGGATCTCTAGGAACAGTTCCTAATCAGTTTTTTCACTTTTTTTTTTCTGTATTCCAACTCACATATTAGATATGGAAGCCAGACTGGGTTTTATTCAGTTCTCTGTATTTTCTCACTGTTTCTGCCTGTTAAAATCCTACTAATCTTTTAAGACTTATCTGAAATACATCTTCCATGAAACCTTTCCTGATTTCTCCTTTCTAGCCAGAATTAACTTCTCCTTTACTGTGTTCTTATAATACTTTTTTTAATACTTCTGTTGTAAGATTTATTCTGTTTATAACTGCTTGTATTCAGCCTAAACCTTTCCATTAGCTTTTAAGCATCTTGTAGTGAAGAGCCATGCTTTTATTCCCTTTTATATCTTCCATATATGGCTCAAACCTAAATAGGTACTTTTTAACTTTGCTTGTATTGAATTGACTGTGTCAGACTACCTCAGGTATTTTCCTAAAAATTGTATTAATATTTCACTGTGTTAGGGATAGTGAAGGGAATATTAAAATGGTAATACATAGTGTCTGCTTTGGAGGAACTTGTAGTCTAATGAAAGAGACAAACATATAAATAGATATTTGCTTTCCACTATGGTAAAATGTGCAATGGAAATATGTGCAAGAAGGATACATATGGGAATCAGTACCTACATCTGTCTGGAGGAATCAGGAAAGACCTCACAGATAAGATAGCATATGATTGAAGGCATAAAGTAGATGTTTACTTGGTGACCATTCAGGGGGAGGATCTATATCCAATAGAGTAGACATCATGTACAAATCCAGCAAATTCTGGAAACTACAAATGATAATATCTTGTGATACAGTTAAATTTCTTTAATTGGAAGCACAAGAGCAATATGGTTTAAAATTAATATCCCTGGATCACTAGTTTCAGGTATTAATTATTTTAGCATGCCTGTGGTGTTACGATTCTTTTTCTTCTTTATGAAGTTTTATTCACTTTTCATGACTTTCACCCTATTTTGCTTTTTTATTTTAATGTCAATTTAACTAGTTTTTTTCCTGTTGGCTTTCTGTAATGACAGAAACTGGATAATCTAAGTAGAGTTGACCCTTGAACTTTATTTGAGGATTTGGGGCCACTGACCCCCTGTGCTGTCAAAAATCCATGTATAATATTTGACTCCCTGAAAACTTAACTACTAATAGCCTACTGTTGCCTGGAAGCCTTACTGATAACATAAATAGTCAATTAACACATATTGTATGTTATATGTATTATATACTATATTCTTAAAATAAGGTAGGCTAACAAAAGAAAATGCCTTATCAAATTGTTGCAGGTCTCCAAAAAATTTTCCAATATGTTTATTTAAAAAAACCTGTATAAAAGTAGACCGACAAACCTGTGTTTTTCAGGGTTACCTGTTTATGACAATAATTATTTGGCCTGGGAGGAAAATCCTGCATAAATATTCAGTAATGGGTTTTTATTAATTAATACATTAATTATGTTATTACACAGTCAGATGGGCTTGTTATGGGCAAAAAACAAAACCAAAGAAATGAGTTGGGGAACAATTTAAAGAACACCTGTGATCTTGCTTATCCAGAGACAACTACTGTTTGCTCTACAGGGTATATCATTTCATGTTCTTCACATTAGATACATATATATGTTTAAAACAAAAGGATATGACATCATTCATACTGTTTTGTAACTCACCATAATTGTGTTACTTAGTTCATTTACTTATTTTGGGATATTTGTGTTATCCTTAATTCCTGTTGGACCTTTTGATTGTTCCAGTATTTTGCTATTAGAAGTAGTAGTGGGGGACTACAAATTTTCAATAAATATCATGAAGTAGGTCTTAAAAATTTGTCCCATGTTCATTAGAACTGTCCTTATAATTAAAATAGAAAACCAATGTATGATTAAAGAAAAGTGGTTTAGTAAATCAAAATAAATATATGTAGGTAAAATATATGCATGTGAAGAAAGGCTGAGAGGAATTCTGCAAAAGTTAGAACAGTTATGTTACTAGGCAGAGAGCATAAGCAATTTCAAAAATTGAGAAAACTAATGAATAACATAAAAAGGAAAAGGGTCAAAGTCTTAATACTTTAAAGTTTTTCAAAAGACTTTTAATATATATTCCTTTTCCTACACAGTTCATAACTTAAAAATTAAAGACCTTTTTTTGCGGGGGGTAAATGTATTAGAGATTTAAACTCAGTCATTTTCGAGATGTTTAAAGAGTATCTACTATGTACTGTTGTAGATGATGGAGATACTTTTTCACTTGTGATGGTTACAGTTTAGCGGAACTAGAAAAATATGTATAGTGGAAACATAAATTACAGCCGTTTTCTTGTACTTTGACATTTAAGTTATTTTTTTTGTGTGTGTAGAGAATGCTGCAATAGTTGTATTTCATTTTTTCGATTTCACCTTAGTCGATAATAGGAAAAATATTTCTCAAGTATTATGTTCAGAGAATTATAAAAAATAGCTCTTATGTTTAGCTTTATTCTTAAGTTTAAATAGATATGGTATGATTTTAGAGAACTTGCTTTACCTTCCTGCTACAAAAACATCTTTCTCATTTTCCCATTTTGGGATTAAGTTTTTGCTGCCTTTGTGGGAAATTTCACATTTTAGTTTAGTGAACATACAAAGGAGTAGTTGAGTATCAGATCTTTGCCTAGCCAAAAGGTTTGCTAGTACAGGAATATTTACGGTGGGACAATGAAAAATAATGTGGTAAGTGGAGGCCAAGGATATATAGATGCACTACTTCTAGTTTATAATTTTATAGTAATTACTCTAAGTCTCAAAAACAAACACTCTTTATATTCAGTTTCTAATTCACATTTGCTAAGATACATTTTATGTGATTAAAGACCCAAGTGAAAATGTGAGAAAGAATTTGCAAGGGAAAATATACACTAAATATATGTAGCAGCTGTGTGAAAGTGACAGAATAATAAAGTGAATTTAACTAAATTAAACTAGTTAACATTAGAAGAAGCTAGTGTATTAGTAACTCCCCTTGATTATGGGTCCTGTCTAAACCTGATAGAGGTTCAGTAAGTTACCTGAGTTTATCTACTTAACTATCTGTGTAACTGGTAGAGATAATAGAGGCAGGACTTGAACTTCAAGTTTAGCTTTTAACTCATGTGCTTTTGCTCAAGTTCTGCTTTAGTGACTGACTTACAATATATAATAACTTTAAGTTGGAAAAAGAAACGGAGTCATAGTAAATCTGTGGTTTCTCTGTAGAGTGCTGCTTATTTGGAAGTTTGTTGGTCGTTAATTTAGGTACCTGTGACCTAAGACCATTTTTTATTTTGTTTTGTGTTCATAGACTTGATTTACCCTTAATTTGGTCAATAATTTCTTAAGTGTATAGATTAAAAGAGAAACTTAACCAAAAGGTATCTAGAAAAAATCAGTGTCCTGATATAGAAGGAGCAGAAAGAGCAAGAAGCTTGCTGAATCTCAGAAGGAAATTGTACAGTGAACAAATGAAAGTGAATGCTGGGAATATCAACAAAACCAAGAATCAAATCCCGCTTTGAGGTTTATTTACTAGTCAGTGATACCTTGGGAGGTCTGGCAATTTCTCCTAGGTTTTGTTTTATTTCTTCTTTAAGTATTCGGGAAACATTTTTGAAAGCATGTTAAGTAAAGAGTTACTGTCTTTTATGAATGAACATATTGAACATTAAATTACTTGCACAGGGTTTTTAAGCATCCATAAAACTTAGTCTTTACAATGAAACATTTTCTTGGTTTACTTATAAAAAGGCTTGAGCACTTTTAATGCACACTTTGAATATGTACTTGTACTTTGAAAAAGAGAACTAATTTGAAAATTTTGAATAGTAACACATTTTGAGTGGTAACTCATTTTTTGCTTTTTTATTTTTCCTTTAGCTCACTCCTAAGTATATAAAGATTCCATTTCAAGGTAAGCTATCATTGTCTTATGACCTCTTTTCATTGTAATTTTGAGTATAAAATAATCGATCAGCAAAAATGCTGAAATCTTTCTGCAATCAGTTTTCCATAATTTTTTCTAGTACAAAATTTATGGTTGATAATGTGATTCAGCTTAACACTTTTCTTTGGCAATTTCAGGAGTTAAAATGTATACTATTGTTTTAATACTTCAAATCAGGTAATATTAAGGAACTCATGGTAGTTTCTTGGAATTATCAGAAATAAAGTTTTGATAGCAAGAGTTTGGTAAATCAAAAAGGATGAAAATAGGATGATAAGTATAAGGAAAATGTTTATGTTACATTGCACACAAACATGTAAAATGTTTTTGCATAGGGATTAAGAGAGTTTCTTTATACCATTTCTTATTTGAGTAAGGCAAAGTAGATTGGAAAATGGACCTGCATCTTATAGAGACTCAGACCATTTTTCTCATTCTTGCCCCAACTAAAAACCTTTCAAAGTAAGTAACAACACTAAGAACAAACAAATAATAAGCAATAGAGAATAGTCTATTTAGAGAATGAATTATGAAAGGAATGAGAAGGAGCAATATACTTAAATAGCACTTCAGAAATGAAGTAGGGTAGAGAAAGCTTCTAAGACTGAAGATGTAATCCAACTAATTTTAATTGGACTCATATACTTTTGTACAGAATCTACAACTGTATGTTATGACAATGAACCCAATAATGAAGAAGCTACTATAAGTAGTTAGAATATATAGGACACAGAATAAGTATATTAATATTTCTAATTAGAAAATTTAAGGAAGTTATTATAGAATATACCTTAGCTATTTAGAAGAAAAAATAAAGACCAGTAGTTTAAAAGGAAATAATAATTTTGTAAAAGATAGTGCTATAATCTGTAGTTAAACACCTTTGTAACAGAGCTACCTCTCAAGTTATTTTTCTTTTAATCGAGGTATTGACATAAGACATTATATTAATTTCAGGTATACAGCATAATTATTCAATATTTGCATGTATTGTGAAATGATCCCCACAATGTCTAGTTAACAACTGTTCTCATACCTGGTTATAAAAAGTTTTTTTCCTTGTGATGAAGACTTTTAAGATCTACTCTCTTACAACTTTCAAATATACAATACAGTATTAACTATAGTCACCGTGCTGTGTATTACATCTCCATGACTTATTTATATTATAACTGAAAGTTTGGACCTTTTGACCCCTTCACCCATTTTGCCGATACTGCTCTCTGCCTCTGGCAACCACCAGTCTGGTCTCTATGAACTTTTTCTTTTTTTTAAGGTTCCAGAATAATTGATATCACGTATTTGTCTTTCACTGTCTGACTTATTTCACTTAGCATGGTGCCCTCAAGGTCCAACCTTGTTGTTACAAACAGCAATATTTCATTCTTTTTATGGCTGTATAGTATTACACTGTGTAGGTATATACCGTATCTTCTAAATATATTCATCCACTGATGGACACTTAGGTTTTTCCATATCTTGACTATTGCAGTGAACATGGGGGTACATTTATCTTTTGAATTAGTGTTTTCATTTTCTTTGGATAATACCCAGAATTGGAATTGCTGGATCATATGGCAGTTCTATCTTTAATTTTTTGAGGAACTATTTTCCATAGTGGCTGCACCAATTTACATTCCCACCAACAGTGCATAAGGGTTCCCTTTTCTTCACATCCCCACCAACACTTATTATTGTTTCATTTCTTTTCATTAATAGCCATTCTGGAAGGTTCCAACATGAGGCCAAGCACCTTTTCATGTACTTCTTGGCATCTGGATGTTTTCTTTGAAAATGTCTATTCCATTACTGCCCATTTTTTAATCAGATTTATTTTTTTGCTCTTGAGTTGTATGAGTTCTTTATATATTTTGATATTAATCCTTTATTAGGTAAGTGATTTGCAAATATTTTCTCCCATTTAGTAGGTTGCCTTTTCATTTTGTTGATTTCCTTTGCTTTACTGGAGCCTTTTGATTTGATGTGGTTCAAATTTAACTATAATCTGTCGTTAAGACCTATGTAACAGAGCTACTCTCTCTCAGTTCTTATGATACAGACCTCAAAAATGTAATTTAGGTTTTCATAGTTAATATTTATATTTTGTTTCAAATACTACTTTTTTAGTACTTTTCTATCCCAAATGTTTTTTGAAAGACATTTTTAATTAAAAATCATGGAAATATACTAGTGTTAGTGGTAATGGATTTATGACTTTATAATAGAAGAGGAAAACACTAGTATTCTTCCCCAAATCCCATATGTGTTAAGTTTCCATATATAAAAATCTTCTAAAAACAGAGCATGTATATAAAAGAATTTTTGTAGATCAGAAAGTTAGAGATTTACATGTTTATTATTTTTCTATAGCAGCTGAGGGAAAAATTGGTTTATCTGTATTTATATTAGCTATTAATTATATAATGCTATGACTTAAGGGAAATAGTTTATTTGTTCTTCACATAGAAGAAATCCAGAGGTAGGCTGAACAGGGCTGCTACAGTGTTTCTTTGACTATCAGGGACCCAGACTCTCATTTTTCTACTCTGTCATCCCTGACACATGACTTTCATCTTCAAGTTTATCTCATGGTCCATATGACTGCTCATATTCCAGTCATCATGTTGGTGTCCCAGGTGGAAAGCAGAAGGAAGGGGAAAAAGGTGAAAAGGGCATGTACTCTCTGTTTCTTGCCCTTTTAAGGATGCTTTTTGAATGTGCATGCTACTAATCTCATCTACTTATATTTTCTTAGCTAGAGCCTAGTCATATGACCATACATCAAGTTTTTAAGAGCTGAGTATCTTCCTAAGTAAAATTAGATTTCTGTTTCTAAGATCTATAACAGTGGGTAGGAAAGTGGTAAGTTGATTCCCATTCTCAGTGTGTGCCGTAACCTTGAAACAGAAAAAAACAAATATTGAAATTATTCTTAAAACTGTGTTAAATTATCCTCCCCCCACTTTTAAGGGAATCATTTTAAAGCAGTCTTTCTAAAGAAAATTTAAGTTTCATAGTAAAATCTTGGAACATTTGAATTGGTGGTAATTGTTTAGATTCCATACAAATAGTATCAACTATTTGGGGCTGTGTGCTGCATGAAGAAGAAATGCTGTTTTTCTGAAGGTTCTCATACCTTTTTCTTTTAATCTCTGTCTTTGCTGCCAGTTTCACTGCCAGTTTTCAGAATGGGTAGTTGTAGTGTTAATGGATTGGAAGAATTAATACTGTTAAAAAGTCTGCTCTACCCAAAGTGATCTTAGGTTCAGTACAGTTCCTATCAAAATTCAGTGGCATTTTTTCATGGAAATAAAAAATATCCTAAAATTTCTATGGAACAAAAGACCCTAAATAGCCAAAGGATTCCTAAGAAGAACAAAGCTGGAGGCATCACTTACACTCCCTGATTTCAAACTATGTTACAAAGCTATAGTGATCAGAACAATATGGTATGGACATAAAAACACACACAGATCAATGTAACAGAATTGAGAGCCCAGAAATAAACTCATGCATATATAATTAGTTAATTTTTGACAAAAGAGCAAAGATTGTAAAATGGAGAAAGGATAGTTGTTTAAAAAATGGTTTTGAGAAAGCAGGACATACACATGCAAAAAAATGAAACTGGACCTCAACCTCTACTATAAACTAAATTAACTCAAAATGAATTAAAGATTTAAATGTAAGATCTGAAACTATAAAACTCCTGGAAGAAAGTAAAGGGGATGAGCATCTTGATATTGGTCTTGATAATGATTTTTTGGATTGATGTCACCAAAAGCAAAGACAACAAAAGCAAAAATAAACTGATGAAATTACATCAAATGAAAAAATGATCTCACAGTAAAGGAAACTATAAACAGAATGAAAAGACAATTGTGGAATGACAGTGTTTGCAAATCACATATCTGATGATAAGGGGTTAATATCCAAAATATATAAATAACTCATACAACTCAATAGCAAAGAAAAAATATGATTAAAAAATAGACAGACCAGTTGAATAGACATTTTTCCAAGGAAAGCATACAGATGGCCAACAGAGACATGAAAAGATGCTCAACATTACTAATTAATGGGAAAGTGCAAATCAAAACTGCAATAAGGTATCATCTTACACTTGTTAGGTTGGCCACCATCTAAAAGACAAGAGATAACAGGTATTGGCGAGGATGTGAAGAAAAGAGAACCCTTGTGTACTGTACTGTTGGTGGGGATATAAATTGGTGTAGCTACTATGGAAAATAGTATGGAGATTCCTCAAAAAATTAAAAATAGAAGCACCAAGTGATCCAGTATTCCTACTTGTGAGCCTATATACAAAAGGATATGAAAATAGGATCTTGAGATAATTTCTGCACTGCCATGTTCATTGTAGCATTATTCACAATAGGCATGATATAGAAGTAACATAGGCATACAGCAACAGATGGATGGTTAAAGGAGTGGTGCATATATACACTGGAATATTATTCAATATGAGAAAGAAGGAAATCGTGCCATCTGTGACAACATGGACAGATCTTAAGGGCATTATGCTCAGTGAGAAAAGTCAGAGAAAGAAAATACTGTATGATCTCACATATATGTAGTATCTAAAATAGCCAGACCCACCAAAACAGACTAGAATGGTGGTAACCAGTGGCAGTGTATTGAGGGAAATGGGGAGATGTTGGTCAAATAGTACAAACTTCCATTTTTGAGATTAAGTTCAGAGGATCTAATATACAGCATGGTGACTATAGTTAATAATACTCTGTTACATTCTTGAAAGTTGCTAAGAGAGTAGATCTTACATATTCTCACCACAAAAAAGAAATGGTAATTATGTGATAGAGGTGTTAGCTAATGCTATGGTGGTAATCTTTTATCAATAAATGTGTCATATCAATGTTTTATACCTTAAACTTACACTATGTTATGTGACAATTATATCCCAGTAAAGCTGGGGTAAAAATAAAATG